AACCACAGGGTAACTATCAGTTCTACCATAGAGGGCCACAACCCACAGGGTAACTATACAGTTCTACCATAGAGGGCCACAATCCACAGGGTAACTATCCAGTTCTACCATAGAGGGCCAAAAACCACAGGGTAATTATTCAGTTCTACCATTAAGCATCAAAGACCACTGGGTAATTATCCAGTTCTACCATAGAGGGCCACAAACCACAGGGTAACTATCCAGTTCTACCATAGAGGGCCACAACCCACAGGGTAACTATACAGTTCTACCATAGAGGGCCACAATCCACAGGGTAACTATCCAGTTCTACCATAGAGGGCCAAAAACCACAGGGTAATTATTCAGTTCTACCATTAAGCATCAAAAACCACAGGGTAACTATCCAGTACCAATTAATCCAATCCAAACTAAACTAAAAAAACAAGTAATATGCAATAAACATTTTTTTTTATTTTGACATAAAGTAATATAGATATACACTGTTATTTTCTATGTACTGAAAAAGTGTAGAAATACTTACTAATATTTGCATATATTTCCCGTGGGGATTTATTTTGTTTTTTGTATGTCTGCATTTAGTTCAGATCAAGTGTTAGTTTTTCTTCTCAAAATTAAATTAAATTACAAAAAAGTTTTTTTTTTTGGTGACCAGGCTATTTGATAAAACTTTCTTTATTGCTGGATGCATATCACTCACCACCATTAGCTAACCAATAATACTATCACACTACTGTAGAATACTTTATTTTTGCCAGAATATATTTTCGCCAATTTTGCTAAAGGGATGATTCCGTGAAAATAAAATCCAGTGAATATACTTTTTTTCCTATATTTCACATTAAACTCATCAAAAATCAGTGAAAATAAATTCCATACAAAACACGAAAATTAATTCCAGCGAAAATAAAGTATTCCACAGTATATAGCAGCCATCCACTTAATTTAGTTTCAAGTGGTATTCAAAATGGCTGCCTCCATATATTAAATATCAGTAAATAAATAACATTTATTTAAATTACTATCACTTGTACACATCAGCTGTCTGAGTATTCAGACACTAGAACATAATAGGGAAGGTCATCGCTTTGGTCACCTCTAAATTACACTATAATTATATGAGTGTATAATAGATCACTAATAATGATTTTGGTAAGATATTTCTATCCCAAAAAGTAACGAAATTACCTGAAAAATAGTGATCCTATATGTTTTGAAAGTTTCTACAAAATTACATTAAAAAATATGACATATTTAACTTTGTAAATGATACTGCACAATTGGTAATGATGGCATGGGGGTACCATCGGAAACTTGGGGGAGAAGAAGACAGACATAATCTACAGGAGAAATTTCAGCATAATGTATCTCAAAACTAAATGAAGATAAAAAAATGATATATACAGTGGTTCTACTTTTTCCTGGGTTTTGGGTGCTTAATCCCTCAGGCAAAATTGAATGTCATGATAATGAATGACATAACCTGTAGGTTTTTTTTTAGTAAGTAAGTAAGTAAATATATCAAATCTATGAAACAAAAGGTACATACTGTTATCAAATTTGACTGCAAATTTTCAATCATAGAAAATATACAATTTATTAAATTATTGTATATAGGATAATAGTTATTCATGTTAATTTACATAATTACATACATAATATTCATGAACTATAGACTGTGTTATGTAGACGAAGCAGCTTATATGCATACCATTTAGCAGTCTAAGATACATTATTCAGTTTGTGTATGTAAGAGGTATATGACTGCACATTGAAAATTGTAATCAGAACTTTAAATTAATATCTCAAATTATCATTATTTTATTATTGAAAACCTGCTGACATAGAGGTACTCACATTATGCATGCACAAAGAATGATGACATCACTTGTATAGAAATGCAAAGAATGATGACATCAGCAGCACTAAAATACAGAGAATGATGACATCACTTGTATTGGAGCACAAAAAATGATTACATCACTTGTATTGAAATGCAAAGAATGATGACATCAACAGCACTAAAACACAAAGAACGATGACATCACTTGTATTGAAATGCAAAGAATGACATTACTTGTATTGAAATAAAATAATTGATGACATCATTTTATGAAAATACAAGGAGTGATGACCACTAAACCACATCAGTCACTCGTCCATTCGCAATGTAAATGATTTAATAAATGTACAGTAATATTTGATTGAATAAAACTAATTCCTTTCTTATTCTATTTTGTCATATAAGATTATGTTCAGAGACCAGTGACTGTAAAACTTCGCTCATTATGGGTTGGCACATCGTTTGTTATTGTTTAAATAATGCAATTTACGATACTGTACTGATTTTTTTTTTTTTTGGCAAAATGTTAATATTTTAAACTGTGATTTAAAAAAGAACTTTGGTGCAACATGGAAAACAATTCATAGGTGCACAGCACCATACAATAAAAAAAACTTGGAAAAATCCCATGTTGTTATGAAAATAAATGCAAGATCAGACACTGTTACAAATTGTGTTATAAATCAATCAGGGGATAATTGAGAATGCCCCAGGTCCCTTCACTTCTTGTACTTGTAATAACAAATGAATATTCAGCTTTCATGTGTTCCCTTTTGTACAAGTTCTGTGAACTAAATGTTGTAAACTGCAAGACAACTTAACGTGTTAGATAAAACCACAGCAAAATTCAAGATGTGATCATGTGCCAAAAATATGTATTTTTGACGTAAAAAATGGCGACTATTAAAAAAAAAAAAAGCCAGGTTAGCAAAGAAACAACCCAGGTAACATGGAATTAATGCTCTACACATATAAAATGTAGGCAAATATGGCTGCCATTTTAAATCCGATAAAAAAATAAATAAATAGCAGCATATGTGTGACCATTATGTATCAACTATATACTGTAAAATACCTTATTTTAGC